GCGGGGAGAGAGAGTTTGTAGGAGCGGAGAGAAGAATTCTTAAGGATTTATAGGTATCGGATCCCACACGGCCACTCCTTATCCGAGAGGAAACAAGGTAAAATTGGTATTTAAGCCCCAGCTGCGAGGGCCATCGTCGATACGTCGTCATAATAGTGAAGAAAAACTCGAGCGCTCCCAGTAAAATTCGATCGTCGTTCGCTCCCTCGTGAAAAACCCTTGCATAACCACTTTAACCAAACTTCTTGGAGCCACCCTTGTGCTCAGTCTTCTTGTCCTTCTTCTTGTTTCCCTTGCCCAGCAACTCGAGATGTCCTGCACGCTCGCCGAGCAGCGCTTCGGTGCGCGCTGTCATGCCGCTTGTGAACTTCTTGTGGACCTTGTCGACGCTCTTTTTTGTTCCCTTGGACTTGTTCACTTTTGATGCTTGTTTCTTGGAGTGTGTGACTTTGGCGGGGGTCGGGCGACCGAGCTTCTTGACTGCGCCTTGGGCCATTTTGAGTGAAAGTTTGGTGAATGTGGGTATATCGTGGTTTGGTGAGCAAAAGATGGAGAGGTGAAGTTTAGGACGGAAGGGTACGTGGGGGAAAATAAAAATCAAGGTGAGCATAAGCGGGGCTCCCGCTCACCGAGAAGTCTCACCGCGGTAGGACCCTGAGCTTTTGAGTAGCACCTCCCTTGCAACGTGATTGGCTGTCTAAGCGTCTAAGTTGTAACCCAAACTCAACGCTCAACTTCTTCAAATAGCAGAAGGGATAAGCGTTAAGGAAATTCTGATAGTGGAAGAAAATTTGTAATGTTTCATTCATTGCGCAGATAATATGATTGTGCAACTTCTACGTATCTAACCAACAGTGTATTGTGTTTGGATCTCTATTAACATGGTAGCAATGTGCTTGGGGTGGTATCCTAATGTCTCCCCGAAACCTATCAGGAACAATTATGAAAAACAAGATTTGATGTATCATATCAAGCCCACAAAGCTTCTTGGCCTTTGGGTCGCGCTTTACCAGCCGTCGCCCCAGCCATCATCGTCATCGGTCTCCTTCGGCTTCATATCAAGCTTCTTCGCTGTGACTGGTTTGGCTGCGGGTTTAGCTACCGGCTTCTTTGCCGCCGAGGACTTGGATAAGCCCTTTGGCAGCGGTTTGGCGGTTCCTGACTTCTTTTGTGACTGCGCAGCTAACCATCCAGCGAAGTCAGGCTCGCCTTCGTCAAATGGCGTGGCAGATGCAGTTGCTGCAGGTTGCTTTGAAGACTGCTCGGGGGCATCGAAACTATCAAAGTCGTCGTTCATATCACCCCACGAATCTCCAACATCATCATCATCCGCCGGTAAGAAAGAATCGGCCACCACGCTTGCTGTATGCGATGAGTTGCGTGATAGAGGCGCTGGGGGTGACTTGACAGCTTGTCGGTGAAGTGATGAAGCAGTACCAGTCGTTTGCTTTTTGGGTTCGGAGCTAGCCGGAGTAGCTGGTCCTGGTGAAGCAGTACGGGATTCTGACTCTGCGTGAATGTCACCTGCAGCAGCAGACATCTTGTTTGTAAAAGATGATATGGCCCATCCTGCCCAGCCACCTGCAGTGTTTTCGTTGGGCTGAGGTGTGCTCATTCGCGGAGCAGCACTATCAGCAGCCTGAGGAGGAGGCAGAACAGTATCAGGCATAGAAGAAGCTGCCTTCTTAATCTTCTGAAGATATACCTCCATAGTACGAGTGGCAGAATCGCGAATAATTTTCTCCTTATCGATCAAGGCAGGAGAGATCACAGGCAAAATTCTGCAAGCCGCGTCTTCGTCTGTAAAATACTCCGCAGTGGCCCCCAAAGCCATCAGGGAAGCATTCCTCGCATGAACAAAGGGATCTCTCAGGGATCTTGTAAAGGCGGCTATAAGGACCTTCGATCGCGATGAGGTACCGAGGTGCTTGGCAATTTTTCCTAGACAGATGGTCGTGTTTGTACGAATACCAGGCTGCTCGTCATTTGCGGTCCTCGCAAGCTGCTTGAGTAGGTCGCCATTGATTGTGCGATCAGAGAGTTTTGTGATGATGACAAGGACGGATTTTAGAGTCTGCTCTCTCACAACAGGTGTAACATCGGTAAAGCCAGTAGTCTATGTTGTTAGTGTTATACTTCAAGTAAGTTACGAGGAACTTACCAGTTGTGGGAAGATCTTGTCGTTAACAATCTTTTGTGATAGTTGATCAATCATTAATGGGAGGTTATCTAGCAGACAAACTCGGATGGCTCGATCCGGGTTCCCAAATAGGCGGATAATGAAGGGAGTGATCTTGGCGTCGAAATCTTCCTTGGGGAGCTTCGCTGCAATCTTTAACACTACAGAGACCGCTCTTGGGCCTCCGCCACCAAATTCCGCCGACTTCATCAACTCGGGCATCACCTTTAACTTGAAGAATTCTTCTGGAAAGTCATCGCTCACATCGTCCAGACCCCTGTGGAATTTGTTAGCAACTGGTCCACGATACGGTTTCCCAGAACATACGCAAGAAACTCATCGCGTTCGTCGGGGGTCTTAATATCCAAGTTATCAATACCCTCTGTCAGTTTGATGAGAGCGCTATCAAAGAAAGAACCGCTCCTGTTTCCTTGGTCAAGGAAAGCTCCCACACTGATTCGGGCCTTGGGGTTGGCGTTGCACAGGCGCTTATAGCTGGATTGCATTGAGGGAGGGACGCTCTTGGTTTGGCCAGCCTGATCGGCTCCGATGTAGTCGCCGTTAAAGACCTCGTATATCAAGGTTCCAAGGTTGAAAGAGTCGACTGCCGTATGTGGGTTCTTCTTGATAACATCCCATCCACCTTTGGCCAGCTCAGGGGGTGCATATCTTGAGGCGTCGGGCACTAAGCTCCCGTATGTCTTTTATGTTGATCAGCTCCAGTGTCGCATTCTGTATCGAGTAATTACTTACGTATATGATAGACTCGTCATCCTTGAGGCTGCTAAGAACGTCGAACCCGCCCAATTTCCACTCGCCACTTTCTGATGTATAGACCGATCCGACTTTGATGCTGCCGTGGATGGAGGAAGCATCTTCGTTGATGAATTTCATGGTACGCTACGTCTCGTCAGTATCTATACGGTAACCTGAAATCTGGACAACCGTACAGCAACGCTATGAAGACCCCATTTTATCGTCTCGGGGCTAAGACTCTTCCTTTTAACGTGCCATCGTAGGGGCACCACTCGTTCGGTCGCAATGTAAATGTATGTTTCCGTCTAGCAGTAACAGTCAGCGCAATGCGCGCGGGGTTGTTTTGTCTGCGATTATACCTCGACAGCATCTAGGACTTTGACCACGCCCGGGTGTCGTAGCGTTCGGAGCTTCTTCAGAGCATTTTTGGCTAGGGGGAGCTGGGATCGGTTGGTGGTAATGTCGAAGGAGAAGATGCTGCAGTTTGATCCGTCTTCCTATTCGCTACTTGTTAGCTGGATCGCGTTGCGTATATTGCGATGCGCTCTCGAGCTTACTCTCTTGGTACCGTTGTACAATGTCCAGATAGACTCATCGATGTCGACCTTGTCGCCAAAATTGTAGGGAAACGGAGGACCTTGTGCGATGGCAGATGCCACGGCAGATTTGAGAAAGTTCATCCCAGAAGCGCAAGTATTAGAGAAATATTTAGAAGAGTATCCGATCAAGCTTGTTGCAAATTGGCTTATACAAACAAACACACAAATGAATGTTACGTGCGATTATCTTGGATTTATTAAGTCGCAACGTGGTTACTGCCAGGCGTTGTACGTCAGGGAGTCAAGCTCCCCGCCCTAGCGCGGCAGCGCCTAACGAGCATCCACTGGGTGTCTGAATCCATGAGGGGCTCTCTAAACAGGCCCGGTTGCCAGGTACTAAGGTAGTACTTAATACTCCCTATCATTAGAACAAGAACAAGGATACTCAGATTATCTATTCCAGTTTGTATATTTGCAAATTTTATAGAAATGTCCTCTCCCATATAAATTCATTAAGCTTCAGCATCTTCAAAGACATACACAGGACAAATTACATAGTAAATCACTGGTAATGATCCGATCTAAGACCATTACAACGACGATCTGCCGCTCCCGCGGGTAGTGTTAGAGGGCGCCGGGGCGGAACAACTCAGTTTCCAGGCGAGCTACTCTCTGTAAACGTGTAGTTTACAGGGGGAAAGAATCTAGATGGCGTCTGTCGCTGCATCGCTAAGCGCTTGGACCAACGGGACGCCCATTACTTTCCAACACGCAACAGCCAGCCCGTAATGTATCCGTAAACGCGGTAGGTACGGTGATTCACGGTTATTTGCCTTTTGGCAACCCGTTCTCCTTCCTTCGATTACCCTTTCTTTTTCTTTCTTCCTTTCTTTCCAACGTCACGATGCTTCTCGCTCTTTGACAACAGATAAAGGAAGGGCGCACACAGCTTTGCGCGAACCCTTGACAAGCCTTCATTTTGGGCGCGTATTTATACCACTGCACAAGTGTGTCTTTAAGCCTTTTTACTTTCTATTTCTTCTGCTATTTTAAACCTACCACGAAGACTTCTTCACCTAAGTTCAACTTGTATCATACATATGCATTATTGTGCTTGCTACACTTTCGCATACCTTAGGTATCCAAACGTACAACACAGCATATAACACGTGTGCAACAGGTTCCCCTGATCGCTCGCTAGTACTGGCTCTGGCTGGTCACAGACCCAGGTATGTCCTCACTATTCCCTATTGTCCCCCCTCCGTTGTCGAATGATGCCTATGGTAAAAGGTCTGACTGAACGGAACCCTTCTGGTTGCGCCGCCTCTCTAATCTCGTTCATGACACCGTTGTCTCAATCAACCTTGTCACTTCATATCGTGCCCCAACCTCAAAAAGCTCTCCTACATTCCACCTTTGTTCGTAGAGTCATGGGGCCGGTAACATTAGAGTTTCTTCCGTCGCAACATGGAGTCCTTTTCCTCGTCTTCGCCACGGATCTTGACCAAAGGCCGCGACCGACAAAAGGTTTATCCTGCGATACCACGGGTTACAAGAGAGGTGTAGCAGCCGCTGGGTGCCTAGCGTGACGGCCATTCAAAACTGAAAAGATCTGACTCGACTTTTGCTTCAAAATTTATGTTTCTTCACATTGTGGTACACAAATCTAACTTATGGAACTCACAGGAAACCATATATCTATGAACCTCATGAATCAACCGGGTCAAAATCCCCTGCGCATGGTGGAACAGTCATGCGGCTTGGTCCATCGAACTGATACTTGATGGCAATGTCTAGTAATATAGGCGGCAGCTGTGCAGCTCCCGATTGTGCAAACACTGTCTTACTTCCACTCACAATTTACTGTACAATACATCAGAAACTTGAGCAGGCAGCTTCAGACAACTACAGAAATCATGCTGCAAGTTCTCCCGGGAAACCCCTACAACCAGACCGAGACTTGATCATGAAAACGGGATCTGTTTTGCAAACAGATGAGTCTAGAGATCTGTATCGAGTTGCCATCACGATACCGTCGCCCGTCATGCAAGCAGAGACGGGAAAGGGTCTTCCAGTTGTGACGCAAGAGCCGCTTAAAGGG